GTTGGGCCGTTAGCAGCCCCCCGCCCCTCGTGGGGTTGGCTGAGGCTGCGAGTTGCTCGTCACCTTCCAGAGTGCTGCGCGTAAAAGTCTGAGCTCCATGTTCAAAAAGCACTGTAACCGCCCCTCGTTTTTTTCCCCCCACCCTTGCGAGTAAGCTAAATCTGCGTGGAGGCAGCCTTATGGGGGAAGGGCAGTGGTGTACTGGCATCTTGCTCAGCCTTAAAAAAAATTATATCTTAACTAGGGTCTGTGGCACTCTAGTTACTAAGTGGCTGAACTTTCAAAAGTCTAAAAATAGCCATGCTAATGCCATGCAGAAACCATTTAGAGCTAGTGTGTGCAGGCTCCCACGCAGAGCGTGCCTGCTGCTAGTTGTACACAGCCTAGCATTGGTATGTGCTTTCTGAGAGCCAAGCCCAGTCACTGGGATAAATAAAGCATCTACTTAAGGTAAAAGGTGCCTCGAATTATGCTCTCAGTTGTTTAGATCATGTGGGTGTAAAAGATCATAACTTGGTCCTACTAGGTGTACACAATCACTTTGTGGAAGCACTCTTCTGTTGAGTAAAAAACTTGTTATTGAGACCTGACTTGTTGCTTTTTTTTTTTTTCAGGTGGAATTAGTAGAGCTAATCAGCCCTAAGGTCTTGTTTTGTTTTGCAAAGGATAAGCTTTTATTCCTAACAGTGGAACATGATGGATTGTTTTTCTTTTTCATTTCAGTGAAGAACTTGGACACTGGCAGAAGTGCCCCGGGAGCAAAGATGTTTTTTGGCCCTGAAATAGTCAATGGTGAAGCCTTTCTTAGTGCATATTAAGGCACAGGGATCATGGCTGCTCTTAGCGCTTTTTAATCTAATTGTGGACGCTCTGCTGAATTCTTCAGTTGCACAACTTTTCCCCAAAATCCCTAGGAATGAGAACATTGTCAAAGTCGCGGAACTTCTCTGTTCCCCAGTTATCTTCTATAAAATAATAGTAATTCCATGCCTTATGAAGGTCTCGTGACTGTACTGCCTTAAAGCTTTTGAGTTAAATAATGAATAAAGTCCAGTAAGGCCAGTTGAGATATGCATGCATCCTGTGTGCTTCTTAAAGGCAGGTTACATTCAATGTCTATGTTCTTATATATGGAAGACTCAGTGATGGACTCCCCTGGGAAGTTAAATCCCTGAAAACAGGGATTCTGATTGACTTGTTTTTTTGCATTCACTTGCAGAGATGAAAAGCATCTCTGTTAAGTGCTCTGTTTTATCTGACCCTCTTTCTGTGATTCATTAGTGGTAAAAATACGGAATTATTTAAGAAAAATGTTTGTAGTGCATGATGGTCCTGTGCGTTTCTGCTGCAGGTGCTAAGCTTTGCTTTGGGGACAAAGAGCAAAGTAGTGGTGGGAAAGAGCTAGAAGGCTCTTTACAAGTCTTTATCAGACTTAAGTGCTTAACTATGTCCATTCTATCTTTTTCCATGTAGCTGTTTTGTAGTAATAGTCTGTAAAGTAATAAGTTGTAGTTTGATATTGACTTTGTGTCTTTGAAAGGATGGTAAACCATGAATTAGTTTTGCTTAAATGCTACAGTTCTGAAATAGATCTCATCTAGGCTAGTGATATAAGTTAATTTTTACAGAATTGTACATCAGAGTGAATTATTTTTATTTAAGCTATGTTTTGAGTCCATTTTCTTTTGTGCAAGTCTGCTGGTTAGTATCAGTTTGGACTCTTCGTTTTGGGGGGAAATGAGTGTTAGGAAGTTGCTTGTTAGTGCTAGAGTATAAACTATTTATTTCTATTACAGTGGAATTGCTGGATGAACCAGGTTCAGAGAAGGGAACAGCAACACTCTCCGAGTATGTTGAAATGTTTTATTTGTTTATTTCCTTCACAATAGGAGAAAGGGTGGGACTGCACTTGCTAGGCCAGCCAGCACCTGCATTTTGTATCTTATCAATGTTCTGACTCAGCTATGCCAAGATTGTGTTTTTGTGCTCTAAAGAAGTGAGAAGGTGATGAGCGGAAAGCCTCTGCTGTTTTAAAAGATTCTTTCAAGCTATTACTACTCCTTATCTCTGCCCACTGCCCCTTAGTTTCCTAGGTAGAATAACTTGCTGAGGTTTTTTTTTTCCTTTTTTTTTTTTTTTTTCCAGTCAGCTTGTTGTCTCAAGGAGAATTTCCCATGAGCGTTTCTTCTGTGCCTGAACAGTTCCTGAACAGTTGCACAGGCGGGTTAGGTTTAAGCAGATGCTTTCAAATGTATATAAACGTAATTTTGGGAAGCAGGTAAAAGTATGTTTCTCTGCTTTGAACTCCTGCAGACCCCTGCTGTTAGATGGCTGTGCGTTGAGTCTTTTCACAAGACCACATTTCATTAGTTTACTTTTCCTGTTAAAAGAAGTAGGAATGACGTGGCGTCTACTGAAAGTTCTTTAAAATACGGTTAGACAGCACGTATATTTGTTGAAAGCAGCAGTCTTCTCCCCTGCTGCTGTCTCTCTCCTTACGTGTGAATACATACACTTAAATATGCTAATTTTTCTAGGAGATTTATTTCTGTGTTAATCCATTAAATATAAAATGTTAGATACAAGATTCTTCACCTATATCTAAGGGCTGGTTGGAAAGTTATTTATGTTTCCCTGTATTGACATAGGGACATACATGGCTGGATCTGTATAATAATGGGATGTTTTTATATCAGTATAAAGGAATATATACTAATAGGGCATCCTTCCTCATAAAGTATGCTTTAATCAGACTGTCTTCTGTTGTAAGAATGAAGCATCTTATATGGGGCGTGTTTCTGTAAGGTGAATGGTTGATACTAACTGTTTTATCTTTTTGATTGTGATATGCCACTGTTTCAGTACTTACTTAATAACTTCCATTTGATAATGGGAAAGTTTCAGTTGATATAACTGTTTTATGTATTTATGGACTTTTGTAAAAACACCCTCCTAATCATAATATTTAAATAATTTATCTAATGTTTTTGATTCAACATGAAGATTTAAAAATATTTAAATTATATGGTGTTTGGGCTCAGGTCAGGTACCTCATTCTTGAAGTTGTTTGTGCTTTGAGCTCTTTCTCCTCTCAGACTTCATTACTGACCTTTGCAGCAAATATTTTTTCAGGTTGGGCTCCCACTTTCTGCTTTTTTCAGGAATAAAACTGAAATTTTATCCGAAATAAATGCCCGGGGCAAAATAAACTCCTGGTTGGGTAGCTTCAAGATCCCCTTTAAGAAACATGTGTAGTGGACTGGGAGGTTGCTTCAAATACAGCAGTTTGTTGTCTTACAGCAGGTAGATGGTGCTGGATGAAGTATTTATTAGAACATTCATGCTGGCAAAATGAGGTGTTATGTGTGGCCTTCTGTACTGTGTGTGGTCTCCCCCTTGCTTCTGCAGGTGTACTTCAGCTCTTGAAGGGAACACAGAAGCAGATACAGGCAGATCGGCATATTGTGGCCCATGGAGTTCTTGCATTTCCTTAGAGAACCAGCTGAGAGCCTGGAATAGCTTAAAAAACTGTCTTTCAGGTAACGTGGCTATTAGTCAAGCAATATAGTTTGTCTTTGTCAGACAAAACCTTTCCCAGAGGCTGTTATCCCTTCATACTCCTAGGGCTTGCCGGTTATCAGGGCAGGCTTTGCTCTGAAAGAGCAATGGTCGCAGATGGCCCAGAGCTCACTAGGCTGTGGACACGTCCGCAGCGTCAGAAAGAAACTCGTCTGCTTTCCAGAATGTTTATCCTGTAGTTTTCATCAACTATACAAGTGGCTGAGCAGTGTAGCTTATCTTTTCAAGAAGTTAAAGTACTTCAGTCAGTCAGTGTTCTTCTGTTGTGATTTAATCCTTTATTTGTTCCTCACATGTATGTAGCATGACAGATAGCCCAAAGCTCGTTTAGGCTATTGCTCTTTGGTCCTGTGCTGGCTGTTACACTCTGAAGGTGCTTCCACAGATTTGGTTGTCTGGTTCCTGCTGTTTGTACTTGCGTAGTTTCAGATCCAAAGTCTAATTGGATCCCTTGGTGTTCACACACAGCCATGCCAAGAATGCAAGACCTGTGTAGGCTAAAGAGAAGGCTAGCAGCATTTACCTGGAATATAGGGGAGAAAATAAGCAAGGGTTAATGTGATCTGGGAGAGCTTCATAAAATTGTTTTTATGATCCTTTGGTTTGAAATGACCAGAGTTTAAAAGGTCATTGCTCCTTGTGTTGTTATGGATGTATGGGATTAACATTTGGCATCTTACCTGAAAGAAAAGGAAGGAAAAGGAGAATCTTTAACAGCGATTCCTTCTCTAGCTTTTAATTAGACATTGTTAAGCAGGTGTTCAAAAATATCATTAAAAAAGCCTATCTTAAATTCCCTTTCCCCTCTTGATCACTTAGTTGTCAGTGTTTTGTGGTGTCATTGTCAGTTCTGCCTTCATTATTTTTCTCTTTCCTTGGGCAAGTTGGGAATCGTGGCTTCTTTTAAACAGTTTTTTTTTTTTTTTTTTGCCATAACCTTACTATTTTCTTTATTTATCATAAAACTTGGTCAAAAAAAGGCACCAAAACTCACTCTTAAGCAGGCGATTTTGCTGAAAAGTCAGAATTTTGGCTCATACTCATTGCTTGCTGTGTATGCTTGAAGCAGGCCTCAAGTAATCTGTTTGTGTGCTCAGGAAGTAGAGAGGGAAGGGACTGAATAGCTAAACCAGAAAAGTAGAGTGATTAACCATAAAATACTTATCTTGTGCGGAGTTTATCCACGTAGAGGAAGTTTCTTGTGCGGAGTTTATCCACGTAGAGGAAGTTTCTAATGGTGTGGGGGATTTTTTCCTTCATTGTAGGGAAGGAGGAAGAGGAGAATGTGGAGTACACAGTTGTCGATTGTTTCCAGCAGAAATTTGGCTCAGCAGTAAGTATTAACTGAAGTTCAGTGCAGCATGTTGACTCCTAACCCTCTTCCGTCTGTCAGTAGATCTATTAGGTGCAAGACTGGGAACACAGCTTCATAATGTCTTTTATTGGAAAATGAAAAACACTTTTGTGGAGTGCAATGAAACTTCAGTAATATAACTTTTTTAGTCAAGTAGAAATGGTGTCCCTGGTGGTGTCAAAGCATATGCAAAGTGGACATCCATGGAGGGGAAGAGAGTGCAGTGCGTGAGTCTGTTGCGGTTGTTAGTCTTCACCAGAGCGCGTTGGTTGCTCTTTTGGAAGTTTGTATCAGCTGTATACTGCGATGAAGGGGTTGTATTACTAGTTAGTGAATAATTCCTTTCTTGAAGAAAGGAAGAACACCAGGGTTTGTTGGTGTTTAGAAAGGGAGTTGATTGCACTTTTTTATAGGTGTTTTGAACTCCAGAAATGCCTGGACCTTAGCTTTTCTCTTAAACCATGTACAGTAACATCAGCAGACTTGGTAGGGGAGGGCTTTGTTTCAGAACCAATGGCAGATTTATTATTAAACCTATAGCATTACTGGGTACTGAATTAGACCAGCAATGCTATGTGTCCTCCATGCCACTTTGACCTGCAGTAACATTAGCTGGGTTTGGGCTCCTATAATGGTAAATCTAGTGCAGTATAGGGGAGGAAAAAAAAACTCCCAAAGGAGGTTTCCCTGCTTACAGAAGAATCTTACTGTTACTTGAAGAAGCATGTTTGTTTTTTTCTTTTTAATTTCTAATTATGCCTTCTGCTCTCCTGTTGCATGTGCTCTAATGAGTTGGTTTATTTTAATTGTCTAAAAACGTTTAGTGTCGGTGAGCGTAGAAGGCTTTTTTCATTTATACTTGAGAAGATGAGTTCTCCTTTTTTATTTAAGAGGAGTACCTCTATCTGATCTTAAGGTAGTACCTAAACCCTACACAGAAGGATTTCTTGGGAGGAGTTTGGGAGCTGTCTGTATTGTTTAGTTAATCCTTGATCTTTCTGCTAAATCTACCATCAATGTTTCTAGTTGTGGAGTGTCCAACTGTCTTACCTGTAGTTGGACTGAGATCTTGTCTGTTTCTATCAGATCTTTAGATATCTGTAAGATTTGTTGTGTTGCTGATCACTATTTACCTTTCGTAAATATGGATCATGACCAGAAAAAAAAGCATTTTTTTTTTCCTCCAACCTATCAATCTCTGGCAGTATTTTTCTCTATTTTTTTTTTATTAGTTGCTGCACCTAAAGCAGCAGTGTGTTATCAGTGTAGCAGCTGAAGGTGTTAATTTGTGTCGTCATGGAAAACTTTCTTGGCTTCAGGTAAGAGGCAGATATTGCCCAAGATGCACCACTAAACATAGACGTAATTAGGAAAGATTTGGGGATTAGCCTGTGTTTAAGACTTACTGGCATAACTCTTTTGGTAAAAGACGTTATTTTCTTCATGACAAATCAGGTGTTTCATAAAAGGCCTATTATAGAAAGAGTGATACCAGTATAGGGCATCTAATTAAACGCATTCGTCCATTTTTTTTAGTTCATTTAACTTATGTAGTATATTTTTATATATAACAGTATAACTTACTTTGCTTTGTTATCCGTATATACTTTTATACAGTTAGAGGTATTTTGCTAGAATAGCTGGTATCTATTTACAAATTGCAAGACCTACTCATAGTATTGGTATAATTAAAGGAGTAAAAATCTATCTAAAGATGCAATATCTTCACTGGCTGTGGAATGATCAATATCTGAAAAGGAAGAGAGAGAATGAAGAATAGCTTAATGTATTGATTCAAAGTGGTCTTAGTTTATTTTTAATTAGGTTGAAAAGCAAGTATGTTTAATCCACACAAATTTTTGCTTAAGATTTTCATAGTTCAAACTTGAAACTGTTTATACAGAAGCAAGTGTCCATAGAATGTTTGCTTTGGTATGGCTAGATTCTTTATTAATAACAGCTTTAGTTAATCTATTATAAATTAGAACATAGGCAAAGCCTAAATTTTATATCCTGTCGTGCATACTAGGATAGAAAACAACATTTTATAGTTCCTTTGTAGCAGTTTTTGACAATGATAGGAATGTTGGGGACGTGAGAATTTTCTTGAATGCGGTTCTTTGCAAAAATATCCCTGTCATAGATGTAGGAAATTATTTTAAGTATTATGGATAGGATTTGCTCTTTATATGTCTCAAAATGCCCTATTTATCTGTGTACTGTAGATACCAAATGTGATTCTCTTTAATTGTTGTGACCTTTTCTAAGCACCTCTCTGGGGGAAAAAAAAAAAGATTTGTTTATGGGTTAGTATTAAGGAAACTAAAGTGCATTCCTCAATATAAGTCTATACATGGGAGATTATGGCTTGTGAGAAACAGTACACTGTCTCCTACTTTCAAATCCTTTGTTTTTCTCTCCCTCACTCATCTTCTCTGCCATTGAATTTGTTTTAGATAGCAACAAAAAGCCGTATTTTCCTATTTGATATTTTCCTTCTGGGACCTCAGGCTTTCAAAAATGGATTACAAATGGTACTGGAGGATAGAAGCATCTTGAAGGTAAAAGTAGAGGGTATGTGGGCAGAGGTTGCCTATGTGTGTAATCATCCAGCTGCACCACAAAAGTTGCAGTTGGACACAGGTTTTTCTGACCGCTCTTTCCTGCTTCAGGTCATGCACGACTGCCGTTGGATTTCAGACTGTCTCTCTCACCAGTATGGAGTCCTTCTCTCCAATGTCTTTGATACACAGGTACTCTCCTGATATTGTGGTTGGGTACAAAAGCTTCAACAAGAGAAACTTCTGCCTTGTCCAGGGCATCCTCTTGAGAAAGATTTACCATTGCTAGAATGTGACAGTTGTTGAGCATTCTAAATGTAGCATTTGTATTCTAGCTAAAAAGAATTGTTAAGCAAGGCTGATAGCATTAATTAGAGCCTGTCTTGTGTAGACTAGAATACATTAAATGTGATGGTTACTCATAGGAGTTCTTTTCTCTTAGTCAAGAGAAACAGCCTATGAGAAATGTTTGGGTGTCTTCAAATCCCCATGTTAAATGGTTATTAATATTAGATGCTAACAGGAAGTTTAATGTTTTTAAAAAGGTGATAACAGGTCTTGGTCAAACTTGACACAACGTGAGGCTACTGTGACTTGCACAGCAGCCAGGTAGGCTTGTGCTTTCTGTTCCTTGTGACCCTTTCTGTCCTTTTCACGAGTGTAGAAACAAAGAATAGGCTACAGGTATCCAGCACTGGTGAGTATCCACTAATAAATGCAGTGGTGGAAGTGAGAGAACAGAACAGGTAACCATGAACATAGGCTACAGGTGTCCAGCACTGGGGAGTATCCACTAATAAATGCAGTGGTGGAAGTGAGAGAACAGAACAGGTAACCATGAACATTTTTGCTTCTGCTCGTGCTGGCCTGGGTAGCTGTGCTACTCAAGAAGATGCATGGTTAGGTGGAGCATTAGAGCCTTTCTAGAGAGAAGAAAATAACATGATGGCTGTGACCTTTCAGAGTGGGCATGGATACATTATGCTTAGTCACACATGACTTGTCCTTGCCTATGCTCTGACTTCTCATAGCATAGACATGATTGCAGTCATAGCATGACTGACTCTTCAGGGTCCTAGTCTGGGTTAAGTAGTAAGTTTCATACAGCAAAGGTTTCTCTTTGTCCTTCCCCAATCTTAGTTTGGCCTTCTGCCCCTAGGAATTAGAATATTCTTATTCCATAACAGGTCAAATAACAATCAATGTTAAGTCTTGACTGCTTGCAGGAGATGAGAGAGAATTCCCACCAGTGCTGCGAACTGTATTGACTAGCCTGAGGGAAGAGCTCCAGAACGTGTAACTGATGCAGGGGAAATAACTGCCAGAGGTATCTGCACTAGGGCCTGAGGTGCACACAATTACACTAGTTGCTCTGTTGTATTGGTATGAGCTGACATACACCCTTCTCTTACATTTGATAGGTCTCTAGTCTTAGATTCAAGTACTGTGATTCATGATTAGCCTGAATCTTCCTGAATAAATTGGCCTGAATCCTACTGCTAATATACCTAAACTGGTGAAACAGTCAGGTTTTGATTGCCCTACAGTATACCTGATAGAGCGGAATTAACCTGTCTGTGTTCTGCTCTGTTCTGCTCTGGAGTCAATAACTGGGAGATACCCCTGAGCAGACTCTCATAGATCCTCTCTGTGAAGTACTTCTGTTGCAATCTGTTAGCACTTTTCTTAGAGAGACAGCTTCTCAGTCGTGTTAGAATTGGAGTAGACTGTGCACTTACACAAGCGTATGCACAAGTGAGACTTGATGTATTTAAAAAGAGCAATGAAATGAGGAACTCTGGTTCTCCTTTTCTTCTGGAACAGGATCTTGCCTTCATCTTTTGAGAAAAGTGTTATTATTTACCCCTGGTTTTGGGCAGTTGCTGCAACTGTCTATTGCTTACCTAATATACTTAATGCAACATGCAGCATATGGCAGTGAGAGGCTTCTGGATGTTCCTTGGCTGTCTTGGCTTCTGTATCTTTTATGCTTTTATACTACCTGAGTATCAACTGTTAATGGAAGTCTGATACTCTATTTCACATTTGTCTGCCTTGGGGGGGGGTGTGTGTGTGTGTGTTCCCATTGCAGTCCTGGGCTGTAGGAGCATAAGCAGCTGCACAGTGAGTAAGCAACCAAAGGTTGTCAGTGCTTACATCCGTCATGAGATTAAAGCATTTTCATGCTGTAGAATTCCTTCCTATTGTGAAATGCTGTTGGCTGTCTGTTTGTTTACTACCACACAAAATAATAGAATTTTTCCTAGAGATGTATGCTGAAAGAATAAAGGAAACTTGCCTGAAACTTAGCTTGAGGCTGTGCATAAGACAGATGCATACTAGTTTTTATCACAAAATGCTCAAGCAAAGAAGTTGCTGTTGCTTTCTGGTTGTGCAGATCAGTCCGCATCCACTCCTCTAGAGCCTGTAGCGGTCTTTCTGCCTTTGAATCTAAGCTATTAGCTTGCAATGGCTTTAGACTAAGGTTTTCAAAATGAAAACAAAAACATCGTGTTTTCATTGTTGGTAAGTTTGTATACAACCTTGTTCATTCGAATTACTTTATGAATACTAATTGCAGGGATTCTTTCATTTGGTTTGAATATTTAAGTCTCTTCTCTGTTTGGAAAGCATTTAAGTTTTTATTAGAAACGATGTCTGACCTTCCAGAAAAATGGAATCTATTTTAATTGATTTGAAAATCTTGCTCTGTCTTGACTTCTGCTTCAGAAAGTCTTTCCTGAGGTTCTTCCTCACCTGCATTTGGCACTGAGAGCAAAAAGCTAGAGTTGGTATTAGTGGTCAGAAGTACAATACAAAGGACTGTTCTGTAATGAGTGAAAGGAACTTCCTCCTCTTTACCTAGTGATTTGTGTTTACAATCGTGTGAAGGTCAGCTTCACCTGGGTTTTCTCCATGTCCCATTCTCTGTGTACTAATTAGTTTGAACTATTGCAGTTCCTTTCTCCAAGTATGTTCCCTGTTGCTTTTGGACTGGTGTTTGAAGAAGTCTCCAACCTACAGCAATGTACTCAGCCTAGCAGGGGCAGAAATACAGGGCAGTCCTAGATTCTCTGTCCTACCACAGAGCAGAGGAGTCTTGACACTTCTGTAGCCCACCATAGCTTGTCCTGCTTGTCATGCTATAACATTTTCTTTTTTCTTCTTAGTCTTCATAAAATCTTTTATTCCTTAATAATTCAGTAAAGGGATTTGCCTAACGCTTTATTCTGGCAGGCTTGGCCAAATGCATAGCTTCTCTTGCAGAGAATGCAGCAGCTAGATACTTAGCTAATGCTGTAGAGGTGGCTTTAGTCAGTAGTAGGTCATACAAGCTTCTTTGCCTTTGCTCTTGCAAAGGAGAGAGGTATTTGTCAAAAGACTTTTCCCTTGGGGAGGGGGGGGTGCTCTTGGAATTCACTTTCACTGAGAGCGGCCAAAAGAGATCAAAGTTACAATCCTGTGGTCGCTGTTGCAGGTGACCTGGGCTGGTACTATAAAGCGCTGCTTGGACTGGTCTAGGTAACGCATGGGCACTGTGTGGTGGAATAGCTAGTACAGTGGCTTCAACCAAAACACTTGCAGTAAAAGTGGGCTGGCATAAGCTCAAGATGTTATTGGCAGGATCGTGGATGCTTGTCTTACGAGTTGGCTCAAGGTTTCTCAGAGCAGTAAGGAGAGAAGGGTTATGGGTGATCAGTGTGGATTTTGGGGAATCAAAGTGGCAACCTGCCTTTGGTCATTGGGCTTTTAGCAGGGGAGACGGTCTGAGGCTGTAGGTTGTTCTAATGACAGATAGCTCAATCTTAGATTTTGAGGACAGATAGAAGCTTTCTCATTTTTCTTCCCATCCCCTTGGAGCATGCACTCTTTCTTCAAAGCTTCCCTTTTCCATTTAGTCACCACTTTGCACTTGTTCAGTAGTCGCACTCATCTTTGTTTCCTGGGTAGGGACAAAAGTCAGGGCCTGCCCCTGCTTTTACTCAAGGGTGAAGTGGTGAAACCAGGACAGAGTTGGAGGGAAAAGTTTGTGGCTTCTTGCTTTTTCTGGGGGTGGAGGCAGCAGCAGCTGCTGGAAGGCTTCTCTTACCAGCACCCCACTTCCAGCCCAAAAGGGACTGAATATATACAACTTGGGGATGAGCTATTCAGACTGGAGTACACAATAAATATTGTCTCTGACACAGACAAGACAGCGCATGCCACGCAGTCACTGCTGGAGATGGTTGTCAGCTTTCCTGCTGGCTCTGTATGCTGTCATAGGACAAGTCTTACTACCAAAATCAATCCCTAGACAAAGGGTTTTATGCAACTTGCATATTCTTTACATCATGTTTTCCTTAAATTGTGATGCAGTGTCATGTAACAAATGATAAAACCGTAAGTATTTTGGGGAAGTTTCACTATTTATTATCCCTCTTCTGATACTGTTCCTAACCACCTGCTGACTGGGTACAAGAATACTGGGCTAGATGGAGCCTTAGGCTGATACGATATAGTCATTCTTACAGGTTAATTTACCCTTCTGTGTATATTAACATACTTCATTTTTTATTTGCTTCCCCACTACCAAATCTCCATATTCTCTGCCTTGGGTTTATGGACAGTGGTCATGGCATACTGATTCCTTCCATTACAGGTTGCTGATGTTCTGCAGTTCTCAATGGCAACAGGCGGCTTTCTTCCACACCGCATCTGCACCTTACAGGAGTGTTTGATGGGGCACTTGAAGATATCTTCCAGATCAGTTACCCTCATGAAGTGCAGGCAGCAGATGGCTTGGGTGAGTGATTCAGTCAATGAGATGCCTTCTTAAGATTCAACTCACCTGTGCTTTGCCCCCTTCAGCTGTGTTTTTACACATGCATGCACACGCACATAAAAGAGCTTGGCACTCTTCAGTGGTCAGATTGTAATTAAGGACATTTTGTTACACTGACATGGGAGATGGATGCAGGCTTTAGCTGGCATCGGTGCTTATGCTAGTATGCTAGTTCATTTGAAATTGAGGTATTAAGAGCCACAAAGGTCTTACTGCAGAGGATGTGTATAACTAGGGTAAAAGTTGTTCTGGATATCTTAATACGTTTAACTAATTCTGAAACCTAGTACTAACAAAACAAGTTGGTTGAAACCAACCCTGAGTCAAGTAGGGCAAGGGGAAACTTCTGTTGCCAGCAACATTAGAATGGAGAAAGGATTTATATACTTTTTTGCTTGTGCGGTTTAGCAGTATGTGGCATGTCATTAGTCTCTATTGCACTTATTTTTGTTAATCTTTTAGATGGGGAGAAGCAAGGCAAAACTTAATGGGCCAAAGGTTCCCAAGATTTGGGGAATGTAAGCTTGCATTTTAAAAAATGTTATTAAACATGATAAAGTAAATAGTATATAAATGCTAGGCATGGCATCTTTTTGTTGGGGTTTTTAATCACCTGTCCTCCCTTTTATGGAGAGGAGGACTTCCAAAGAAGCTGGTAACTATGAGATCTAGATACTAAATGAGACCCTACCATATGAGCAGGATTTCTTTACCTAGTAAGAAAAACTTCCTTCCTACCTGAGTGGTCTTTTTGGTTCCTTCATGTTAGTCTGTCTTGTATCTTCTAGAATAAATTTGAGTGTTTTGCACTGTCTATTCATAGATTTTAAAAATCTTTCTTGATAGTCTGGATTAAATGTTATTTGATAGTGCTATAATTTCTTTAGGGCAATTGTTTTTAAACTGATGGTTACTTCACTGAAATCCATAATATGGACACAGCTTCACTTTATGTAAGTTTCTGAATTCTAATAGTGTCTCAGACTTTTGATTTAGAGAATCCTATATAGCAAATCTAAGACAAATGAGAACACACTTGCCTTCCACAGGGTAGTTTGTGAAAGTTAACTACTGGTCTGCAGACTGAAAATGGAAAATGGCTGTTATGTATGTAGTGAGTATGCCAGTATAAGCCACTTCATATTGGCGGTTTTGCCCACAGTATCATGGTCATGCTGCTTAACTTGGGCTTATTTGCGTGTTCTGCTGGTTGCAGTTGTGCTGGCTGAAGATGTTACTGTCCTCAGCTGCTTCCACTGCTCCTGTGATGGGAAATTTTTTCCTGTTAGATCTTTCGGTTCAGCTCTTATAAATCCAGCCAAGATCAAGACAAAATGAGGTGGGTGAGAAAGAATCTAACATTAAATAACAGGATAGTTTAAAAAAAAAAAAAAAAAAAAAAAAAAACAGAAGCAATCTGTCCTCCCAGCCTTCCTTTCCTAACATCCACAGACTGTGCACAGATGGCCTTAGAAGCTGCAAACTTCAGTAGCACTGAAAATAGAGACCTGCATCTGGAAATACTGTGAAACTAGGGGAAGAGTGTGATGAAAAGTATTTTGTTTTGTTTTTTAATCATTCTGGTTACTTAAATAACTGTTTTCATTTGCGTTGGGGTACACAGGAGAATCCTGATATATGGTTCTTGAGACCCTTTCCACCCTCTCTGCTTAAAGCACTTGCTCTGAAGGCCATGTACCTTCTGCCACTCCGCTCATTTCTAATGGATAAGTTGATGTCTGACCTAACAGCCCTGGTGGATGATTACATAAATGCTTTTCGGGACAGTTCAGGAGATCGCCTTGGGAGCACAAAGGTAGGCATGTCTACTGATTTCTCGGGGTAGCGATATGATCTAAGGCTCTGATGGATGAACTCTGGAGGACCTAGCTATAGGAGCTTCCTACTTTGCGACTGTCCACTCTACTTTATGCCCCATACTCCTGCTGCTTGTGCAGAGCAGCAGAGGTGATCATGTCTGTATCTACATAGCTGCAGTTCAGGTTGGTCTACTTGCACAAACCTAGCCCAAGTTAAAATGGTGGATGATGAGCTGCAGCTTTTGAGGCATGGGCACAGGTGCCTGCTGTTGACTCTGATTTGAGGTGCCTGCTGTTGACTCTGATTTGAGGTGCCTGCTGTTGACTCTGATTTGAGGCTAAGAACCTCTGGGCTCAGCAGGGGCTGTGTGAGAGGGTATGGATAGGGGCAGGCAGCTGTGAAATGTTAGTAACTAAAGCTGCTGGAGTTGCTTTGTTGTGGTATGAGTCCCTAGTCCCCAAATGTTGTTTAACTTTGTCTTACTATGTCATCTTTAGTGATATTTTGCATATATTGGCTGTTTCTGAGAAATGCATTGTCTTTTGCTGGCCAATTTTTTTTTTCCATAACAGCATCTCTAGAGTTATCTTGTCTTCCTAATTTGTTTTCTCCTGGATTTTCTTTAAAAAAAAGAAACGAACTTGGTTACATAGAACCAATAGTCATGTTTCACAAATGCTTATCCAGATGTCTTGGAATAGCTCTTGTATGGTGAATGCTGCTGTACTTCCCTGTTCATTTTTTAAAAGGGGGAGTGGGATTTTTGGTAAAGAAACTTGACTTCCTGCCCTGATGAAAAGAACTGTTTCATGCAAACCAGAGCAGGCAGTGGTATTGATGTGGTCTTTTTCTGTCTCTTCTTCAGTGAAAAAATCTTAGCAAGGGCTTGTAATAACTATTTAAAGTATTACTGGCACTAAAGTTGAGTGGAAGGCGGATGATCAGACATCCTCATTCACTGTGAGACTGAACAAATTTTGTTTGGATCATGTCACTGCTTCATGTTTATGCAGTTGTAAATATCTTGAAATAGATGAAGAAAGTGAACACAAGTCTGTCTTCAAGAAAGAAACTGTATTTTTTTTTTTTTGCCCCAGTTTTACAAAATACTCAAACACAGACTTGAATCCTTTGGGAATTACGTATGGGCAGTAAATCACAGCACTGAGGATTTAAGAGGAGATGAATTTAGATAACCACACGAGGTCGTTGTTCTTTCATAGATGGAGGAGATCATATCTGAAAACCTTTCCATTTAAAAGGAGAGCTGCCGAGAAAGAAGATTGGCAATTCAGATGTCAGGCTCTTTTTTGAAAAACTATGAATAACAATGTAAAATGCATGCAAAAGTAGAAGGACACAAGAGGAAAGGACAGTCTGTTAAAGAAGTAGAAAGAATACAAAATAATTTTCTACTTTGTCTTCTACAAACAAATAGCTTAATACTTTTTAAAGTGATCTCAGGTTAATAGTTGCTGAAGTCAATCCTTATGCAAATCCATTTATTCTGTAAGACTAGCCAAGGAATTAATCTGACCCTGAGCACATCCTAACTGACTGACCTCCACCACTCCAGGTAAGAAAGCCTCTTTGGGGCCCTTCTCTATTGTGTTTTCATTCTTGGATTGTGCTTTCTGATTGGAACAGCAGGTCTTCAACCCTTTGCCAAAGGGACGTTTAGTTGTGTAGACAGGTCTTGTGCTGTGCCCCTGACCTACAGAGGTGTTTGAGCTCATGATGCCTCACTAGAGCAATGAGCAGAACGAGGCCTCCCAGGCCTGCTCTGGTTCTGCTGCCTGTGGCCCCTGCTTGATGTTAATGAGTGACATCATGTCACACAGCAATGCACTCTTTTCCCTTTCGCCTTCTTCCAAACTTATGGCACTCCTACAGAAACCATTCTTGCAAGACAAGTACACAGATACAGATGCAGTTTCAATCGTGAGACTTCATTAATATGAAGTACAGAAGCTAGGTGGAAAACACATCCGTACACCTTCTCATCTACAGCTATCACAGCTGCTGGGTCAGGGGTTACAACATTGATCTTCAGCTTGGAGTAGCACAGTAGCATCCTCCTATTCTTTCTTGGGTCACTGTCCCACCCAGAAGTTCATCATATCAACGGCTATTATGCATAGCAACTGTATCAGGATATACTTGGTGAAAAAGATGCTTTGACTGGCCTGCTGTGGGGGGAACAGTGTCATCTTTTCCAGTCTGAGGTTGCCTGTGAATTGCATAATGTTGAGTAATGGCTGCTAATGACCAGTAACCATAGAATAATGACTACTGGGGCAGTTACCTACTCCCTTCTCCTGTCTAATCATGGGTTTCTGCCTCCAGGAGCAGATCTGGCCAGTCTTGCTGTTATTCCTGCTTTCAGAAATAGCAGCAAGGACAAGTAAATGTGCATAATCATGGAGGGAGAGCCAAGCATGCTCAGCTGCCCTTATGGACCTCATGGGCTCCTGCATCCAGTAAGAGTTGCAGAAAGATAGATGTGAATGAAGCTGATGAATGTAATTGTCACCACCATTCCTTGGGCTCTGTATGCCCAGTCTCTACAGTCTGTTTTCTACACGCATCTCTTGTTTCCCAGTGAGAAGTTGCTGTATGTTTCAGCAGCCTCCTGTAAGTGGCAGAATGCAAGAAGTACTTTCTGCCTCAATGCAGAGCTCCTGCTGGGGTTCAGATCATTGCAGTGGCCTTGTTCTGGAGCACTTGATTTCAGACTTCTACCTAGTTCTCTCTACCTATGTCTAGTTCTGTCTTGTTCCTTAGTATTTTGTTTTGGCTTATTTCAACAAAGGTTTGCACTTTATTTAAGACAAGTTTTCATATATAACTTGAGGGGTATAAAGTCCTGAGTTATCAGAGATCATGGATAAGCTGGTAGAAATGGAGATGGATTAACGACAGTTTGTTTTCACAGCAATAAACTCAGGGCAAGCAGCAGTCGTTTATTTTGTGCAAATAGTATGTTAAGAGTATCTTTGACTTGGCTGTCTTAGCTCTCATGAGCAATTACAGTAGTCACTGGTGATCCCTCTGTTTTTTTTCCTGAGGGTTTCAGGCATATCTGCCCCTTGGCCTCACAAATGTTTTACTGGAGATGGCAAGAAAGCAGAGTCCTTATGGTCAGCAGCCCTATCAGCACGTCTTCCACCTTGCTTCTGGTGAAACACGCTCTTCTGTCATTTGATAGTTGTTTTTGATGTACTGGGGAATTGGCCCATGAGCTGGCCCACCAGGTGGGAGACGTGTTGCCAAGGTGGTAGGATGCAGCTCTGGCCTATAGTTTTTCAGGAAAAGGTTGTAGAAAAGACGGGTGTCATGCACCTTGTCAGCAGTGGCTAGCAACAGAAAAGCATTTGCAGTGATCCACAGCAGGCAAACATATGATAATGAAACGCCCTGGTTTATATAGTACTGAGAGCAGACAATCATGGAGAAGGCCTATGAAAGGGAAAGGCATCTCATTGATCCTAACGGTTTAGGAAATCCCTGTACATTTACACTTTCTGTGGTTTCCCTGTGACATCACCTGCTGACAGTCGTCTGAACGGTGGACGTTCTCCCCTAAGCAATCAACTTGCTACTTACTTTCCACCCACAAACCAGATGCAAAACCAGTAATCCCTGAACTGCACTGCTTCATTATCAAAAACACTTAGCTACCGTCTTCTATATCTTTCTGAAAGCAATAATATTCCTCATGATTAGGGAAGGGAACTCAGTACAGACTTCCTGCCCTGAGGGTCTATCTATAGTCGTCTGCGTTTTCAGTATGACACTCTGTCAGGAGTAATTGCTGTTGTGGATACAGACACCAACTAAAACAGGCTTTTGAGCCTCTGCATCTTTGTCAGTAGAAAAGAGCTAGCAAAGGAGCTGTACATACTAAATTTCCAATTCTCCTTGTAGACTTATGTTGTATATGATTTGTGGCTGGGTACTTGAAAATGCAGCTAGCTGCATTCTAATGTGTATGACTCGGAGGTTCCCAAGCCATTTTTGCTTCTTTGAACCCCAGTGTAAAGGAGCAAATAATCTCCTAGAGAAGCGGTGTTTTCTTTTTAAAGTGGTGACAGAGTTCACAAGCAGAGCCCTGGTACTATAGGGGAGCTGCTCATAGGCATCGTTCCTGTGCAGCAGTGCTGACCTACCAACATGCTTCAGGTAAGGTTGCAATAGGCAAGCTGCAGTGCAGTCTAGGATACCAGTAACTTATTCATAGCATGTGATGGCATAAATTCCATTTTCTGGCTAAATATGCTTGCATGCCTGAGACAGAGATTATTCTATTTGACAAGTGATTTGGCACAGCACACAATGTGTATTAATGGATAGAAATGAACATAAAGCCTGAATTTCTGTGCAACTTAGCTTTAAATGGTTTAGGGCACAGCTTACCTCTCACTGTAGGATATGCTATGAGAATTAGGAAGCTAAATGTAAATTCTCCCGAAGGTGAGATTTTTTTTCAAGAAAGTTCTTTGCTTGTTTGGTTGTGGGTGTCGTGTCTCCTCCCACCCTGTAATCCTCTGAACTATTTAGCCGCCTTCTGGATCTGTGCAAACTTCTAGACATAGATTTTTATGAGGCATGGCTTGCCTTCTGAAAAGCCGTGATAATGCTTTCTCAGGGCATCATGTCTATATGTTCACTAATTCTATTCTTAGTGTTTCTAGCAGCGTACCCATACACTCATCTGACTTACCCGCTTGTAGCTTCATGTACCTTCACCTGAACCTTCTTTAAACACTTACCATCTTCCAGTCCTTGCCTATCAAGGCAGGTTTTAAGCAAGAAGTTACACAGTTATTAGTTCATTGTTAGTTCCGCTTTCCAGTTTACTTGGAGAATTTGTGGTGGAGTCTACCTTGTTTGTGTTTAAAGTATCAGTGGAAGTATTTATGGGACAATCTGAGACATATTCTGCATATGTAATTAATGTTTTTGGTATGTGGATCTCCAGATTTTTTTCATGGTAAACACTGAAGAGAAAAAATGTTTTTTCCCCTGTACCCCTTTTATATTGTGATCATCAGTTGGTTGTGCAGGCTGCCTGACATTTTCTATTCCTATTGTGTTTGAAGAAAACTTTTTTATTAGTTTTCATATATTTTGTTAGGTATGAGTAGCATTCTTCTGGCCTGCCTTTTGTTTGTTCTGCAACTTCATCCTTACTATTCACTGCATATGAATATGGCTTTACTTTTCTGAAGGATACTTATTTATTAGTCTCCCTTCCTCTACTCTGTAGTCCTGGAAGTTTCCTTTTGTCCTTTCTGGGATCTTTTGCAGTTAAGTAATGTTTACGCTGTGCTGCATATGTATTGTCTTGAAGTTGTCTCCATGCTACCTGCTTAGGGTTTAATTTGCCTGACTGACTCTTGCTACTTTTTGCAGGCTTCCTTATTTATAGGTAATTTCCCTTTCTACAGTTAAACACAACTGTGGATTTTTTTTATTGTTCCTGCAAAGGAACACAGCAACAAGTGTTAAGCAACAGTCCTCCTTACAAAGCGAATTCTTGAATGTAGCATTTTGAACAGTGTCCCATGCACTGCTTAGGATCAAGTCAAGGAGCATTTTTCTTTTTGTGAACTCCCAAAGCAGCTGTTCCATTGATTTAGCCATTGATTTGTTGGCTCTTTCCACATGAGGGTGTTTTTTTTTTTTTTACCCATATGATAGAAATAATATGGCTTAAAAGAAATCAGGAAAGCTTTGTCTTTGCAGTGGCTCCTACAAGGAAATATGAACTGGTCATGGCTCTTGTGGGGATTACAACAAATTCATAGTGCAAAAGGTCTCTCAGAAGAAACCTAAACCCTATATGCAAAGTAATACTTACATCTTAAAGACCTTCCTCTTTAAAGTAGCAAATAGTAAATGCAAGTCTGATTATTTTTCCACTAGCAGGTAGTTGCTATATTCCCCAGATCAGACATGTCATTATTCTGTTCCATGGGCTAATTACAGAAGAAGCTCTTATCTGGTACCAACAAAAGTAGAATATGTGTAAGTATTGTTTGAATTTCTTTTCTTTCTCTTTATTAGCCCACTTGCATGGAGCTGCCAGAGGAGCTGCATCAGCTGGCAGACTTCCAGAAGTTACGAAGGAAGAAAGCAATGGAAGACTACAAGATGGATGAGAATGGTCTTTTGATCAGACCTGCTGTGGAATTAAAAGAGAAAAAAGATGCACAGAAGGAAGGAAACCACAGAGATGACAGGGACTGTCTTCCCACAAATAAAGTGCCATCTCAAATTACATCCTTCTACAATCAGGATCCACTTTGTCAAGAAAAGCATGAAAACCAAACCCTAGTAAATCTGTGGGAGAACCTAGAGCCAGCCTCAACCTGGCTGTAAAAGTCTTTTATGCAGGTGACATGAGGAGCTCAGATTGTGCCTCTGAGGACATCCAAATGAATGAAAAGGAACTATGGCCCATGCAGAAGCTCAAACCAAAGCTCCTGTTTTTACAAGGACAGGTAAACTTACT